GCTTGGGGGTAAGGATTTTTAGGTAGTCCGATATTTTTGGAGGATAAGCATACATGTGGGGATGATAAACGGGCTTGACAAGGTGAGGTCAATAGTAGTCAGAAAAACTTAATGACACCTAAAGGGCAGTGGGGGAGGTGAGGGGGCTTTGACTAGATTTACTTGTGATGCTTTGGTTCTGACTCATAGTGAACCTTTTATAGTTTCCAAGGCTGTAAATCTTTCCAGGAGCAGAAAGCCTCATATTTCTCTCACAGAGCAGCTGGTAAGTTCCAAGCGTGGACCTCAAGTTTAGCAGCCCAACGTGTAATCTAGCATAATGGCTGATTTAATCGTTCAGAGCGCGGAGCCAGGGGAGACCATCCCTGAATGTAGTGCAACCTAAATATGGGGCTGGGTATGCATAAGGCGAAGGACTGAGAACAGTGGGCCCACTCTGCATCTATATCCATTGGCACTGCCCTTGACTCTGGCCAGGCCTGAGGCATGCCCCCACCAAGCCTCCTGTCATTGCTAGGCATGGTGCTGCTTCTGCTTCTGTGGTTCTTGTCCCCAGTGTTACAGCCCACACTTGCCTGGAAGTTAGTAAGTGCATGTGTATATGTGAGTTAGTATGTGCTTGCTTGGCTCTCTGACCACTCTGATGTCTGCCACCTGCCCAAGGAATCAAGGAGGCAGTGAAATCTCTAGAGAGAGTAACTGCTTTGGGCTGCTGGCCTTGACTCTGCTGCTAAGTCTGTCTTTTTACTGTCAGTTGGGACACTTGGGGCAGTCAGACTGGTGAATGCTGGCTAGTCCTTTCTCACCATAACTCCTTTTCTGATTTTGATGGCCAGGACTGGTGGTGGTACAGTGTGAGCTGAGATACGGGGAGGGAGAGGTAGAAAGTCCTGAGGTGTGGCATTCAATGGCCCAGTTGGGAAAAAGGCAACTTGCCTTTAGAGCTCCTGGTCCCCTGGAGGACTCAGACCTGAGCAGAAGGGCCCCTCAAGTCTGTCTGACATCCACAGAGCTTTGGCTCTTGGACTCAGGCTTGTAAGTGTGTAGTGTGACGGGTTAAACTGGACTCTCTTTGGGGCCTGGGTGTCTTGAAGACCTGTGTTTGGGAGCCCAGGACTGTGTGTTTGGAGTGTCACCTTTTTGGGTGATGTGCCTAGTATATCTTCAGATTTTTCTGACCATAGCTGTACCACCCTGCCTCAGGACTGCTTTTTTCACAGAAACAGGTTGGAAGGTCTAGAGAAGCATGATATGGGAGGGGCATACTAGCAAGCGGTAGGCTCTGTTGCAGAAGAGACCGCAAGGCAGAAGTCTGGATTTTGGGAATCTCACCTCAGAGTGCTGGAGCTGAAAGCTAGGCCTGGGGCCCAGAATACTGTATATACCAGAATGGGCTTGGTAACCCACAAAGCCAGGCTTTATTGCACAGGGTGATGGCATGGAGCTGCCTTACACTGGTGTAGGCTGGTCCTCTGTCTCCTATGAACAGTGGTGCTGTCAGCACAGCTTCTGTTCTGCAATGAAGAGTTCACACAGGCCTTCGAGGCTGTTGTGGGAAAACATCTGTCTTAGAGCTACTTGTAGCCATGCCTCTGGGATTTGTGGTTCCTAGCATGGTAAAACATGTGATTGTCAGATTCAAAATGGCCGATACCAGTCCATTTCGGCTCACTAATGCCTAGGATATCAATCTCTTTTTTTTTTTTTTTTTTTAACTTCTTGTTATAAATTGAATGAAGGTTTACAGAACACAAATGATCAATTTTGCGTTCAATGCATCATATACTTTGCTTCATTACAATGATTGCAACCTCTCCATGTAACAACAGTTAAGAGTATTTACCTCACTTGAACATTGCATTCTTCCCTGTGTCTACTGGTACCTTCATCTTTCCGCTGCTAACCTCTCTTATATATTGCCTGCCCTGTCAGCCATGCTAACATATATCTAGCCTGTGAATAATTTTCCCCTCTTTCGCTTTCCCTATAATCATTGCAGATTGTTTCTTTTATTAAGAAAGCTTTCTTTTTTTTTTTTTTTATAACAACAGTGATCTCTTACAGTATTTGTCCTTTTATGATTATATTTTGAAATCTGCTTGACTTCCTTGCCATTTGGAAGTTCTGTACCTACATTATTCCCTCTTTTTGCTTTGTAGTTGATTTCATTATAAATTGATATCTCTGCTTACCTATTGTCAGTCTTCAGTTTGTATGTCTGGTTGGTATTGTCATGTATGGTAATCTCAGGCTATTGTCTGATCATTATAAATTCCTTTAATTTCTGTTTATCATAAAATAATTTCACCATTGTATTTGAGGGACGGCTAACAAAAGGTGTATGAATCTTGACTGACAAGTCTTTTCTCAGTTTTGTATATGTCATCCAGTTGCCTTGTTTCTTACATGGTTTCTGCTGAAAAATCAGAGCTTAGTTTTACAGTTTATCTTTTGTAGGTAATTTTTCATTTTTCCCACACAGGTTCTCAGAATTCATTCCTTGTCTTTGGTTTTAGAGTTTGAGTATGATAGGTCTTATTGGTTTTCTTTTGAGGTTTATCCTGTTTGGGGTTCAGTCAGCTTATTGAGTGCTTTCCACATTTCATGATGCTAGGGAAGTTTTCTTTCAACAACTCTTTGACAATTGTCTCTGTGCTTCCTGTTGTTGCTTCCTGTTCTGGAATTCTGATCCACCCATAAGTTGTTGTTTTTCATGTTGTCCCACACAACTATTAGGCTTTCTTCGGATTTTCTCATGCTTTTTTTCTGATTGTTCTTCTATCATAGGGAGATGTATTATTGAGAAATTTAGTTAGTTTCATTACCTTTTCATCCTCAGAAGCATTTTTTTCTGGCTTTGCATCTTGGTCATTTGCTTGAGCTATTCTCACGTTTCTTGGTGTGAGCTGAAATTGTCTATTGTCTCTGGAGCATTGTGGGTTGTTGTGTTTATATTTAGTTGATGATTGTATGGTGTATTCTTAGGTTCTTAGCAGCTGCCTCCTGTTGAGTGTAGTTAGAGAAAGGAAACATGTACACTGTTCTTGCTCTCCATTCATGCACCTCAGTTTAGGGTGGGCTTGGTTGATACTGGCTGTTGTCTATCATTGATCAGGTATTATAGCAGCGGGTACTGGCTCTTGCCCAGAGAGTGGAGCTGCAGAGGGTACAGTTGTGGCTGGGCTGTGTGGCACAGTTGCTGTCTCTTGTTGGATGGGAAAGATAAATCCCCACACTATACACACACAAAAATACAAGAGAGAATAAACAAACAAGGAATCAACAATGAAAAGAGAAAATAATGAGAAAAATAAAAACAGTATAATAACTATAAAGACAAAAGAGGGACAGGGAAATGGAGCTATAGATGAGAAAAATAGTGGAAGTAAAAGGAAGAAAAACAAAACCCAAAACACATTTTTAAAAAAACCAACAGGAGAGGGACGATGAAAAGAGAATAATAAAGATTGAAATGGAAATAAAGGGCGGTGGGGGGAAATAAGAGAAGAAAAGGAAAAACAACAGCAGGAGATAGAAAGGATAAAATTGAAGAGAATTGAAAAAGAGGAAGGAATAGAAAGAATAAATAAAAACAGTGAAACAAGAACAACACTAGGGACTCCTGCAGTCCATGAAGTTCACAAGATGAGTATAGGAGGAGGTATGTGTTCCTGGCCCTAAATGGAGTTCCTACCAGCCTCGGTGTAATCTATAATCTTGATACTCAGTCCGGAAGTAGTTCCTGGAGGCCCTTGATGGAGCTAGTTTCAATGTCTTGTTAGGAGCATAGGGAGGAGGGGAGCTGGGGACAGGGTGACTGGGTAATGCTGTTCTGGTGGTACTGCAGGTACTATAGGTCTGGAGCCCAGCCTGCCCAAATCCAGCTACCAAAATGGGATCCCAAGCAACACAGCCAAACCCCTCCTCACATTGCCATGACCATGTAGCTCCACATTTCTGGAGACCAGGGTCTGCACAATAGTTGGATGAGGATGGGAACTGCCACATCTCTGCTTACTAGGGGATTGGGGGAGAGGAAGGGATCATACCTTTCCCAATCACATGTGTGAATCTGTTCTGCCATGCTACCTTCTGTTGCCAAAGCTGCATACAAGATGGTCATGCCACATCTGGCTGGCCATTCACCAGTTTGTCTGTCTCTCTCACTGTCCCTGCTCAGCTTCTCCTCCCAATAAGCACTCAGTCCACTTCTCTAACTTTTCTTCTGAAGTTCAGTGTTCCAGAATTTTATCTTGTGTCTGTTTTATTTGGTATCTCGTGTCAATTTTGACAATTTCAAGTTTTCCTAGATTCATACTTCGTACATTCTGTGATCCAGTTATTAATGGATATTTGCAGCTGTATCTTCTCATTTTGAGTTGTGCCCATCAGCAACTGCTGATCTATCTAGAAAGCTTTACTCCATCTCCATCATTTAAGTCTGCTGTACTTTGAGGAGGCAGCTCTTCCCCACTTGTATTTTGAGTACGTGTATCAGACAAGGAGTTCTGGTGTGGAGCTATAGGATAACTACTCTACCACAAGGTCAGTTTGAACCACAGGGTTGGTAGTTGAAACTCAACCAGCTGCTCCTCAGAAACCCTTACAGGGTCGCTGTGAGTCAGAGCCGACTCAGTGGCACTTAACAGCAACAATGTCTGTCTTAGTCTAAAAGCTCCGCTGAAACCTGTCCACTGTGGGGTGACCTTGCTAGTATTTAAAATATTGGTTGCATAGATTCCAGCAACACATAAGCCACCACAGTACAATAAACTGACAGGTGTGTGGTAGTCCCTACGATTGGGAGTCTCCAATAAAACTGTTCCCTTATCTGCTCCTAATATTGAACTTAAGGAGGGCCTTTGAAAGTCAACCACATGAATGCCTAGTTAAGGCAGGAGGATAGTCCTCAAGTAGACCTGGCCCTAGGGAATTGGCCTGAGTGGGACAAGCGCCCTCCTCCATGTCTGTTGAAAACACCATGTATGTTTCTTTTGCAGGACGAGATTAGATGCTCCCCGATTGGAAACAAAGTCCCTGAGCAGCTCTGTGTTGCCAGCCAGCTATGCTTCAGATCGGCTGTCAGGAAACAACAGGGACCCTGCCATAAAACCCAAGCGGTCGCACCGAAAGGCAGACCCTGATGCCGCCCACAGGTACTCAGCTGGGACCCCAAGGTCAGCACAGTGGCCTCAGGGCCTGGCCTGGCTGCAGGGTGAGGTAGGTGGGAGGTCTGGAGGGTTGATTGGGTAGAAGCCTAGGATTTCCCACCTCTAGAACCTCAAATCTGCCCCCAAAGAGAAGGGGTCAGGCAAAGATACAGACAAATGGGAGTGCTTGGCAGGTGCTTTAATAGGTTTTTACTTAATACTACAGGGAAGCTGGGACTTTGGAAGATCAAAAATCAGGGACCTATTTTAAAGTTGGGAGAAATTTCTGAAGACATATTTAGGCTGAAACCTGAAGGATGAAGAAGATGTGCCTGAAAGATATTCCAATCTACTAGTAATGTGTGAGCCAAACCATGAAGCAGGAAGAAAAGAAAGCTCTTGGTGGTTTCAAGGGGCTAAAAGGATTGGCGAGCAGAGGGGACAGAGAAAAATGGGAGCAAGGAGAGAGAGTGAGGTAAAGGGGAGAGAAGCAGAATAGAAGTAGATGCACAGTCATGAGGGTATGATAGGAAAAGTCTCAATACCAGTAGTGCCCTGACCCTCACTCTGTCCCTCAGAGCCAGGCAAATCCCACAGGGTCATTAAGAAATGTCTCAAAGACTTGGGAGACCACTGGCATTTAGTGGACCAGGACATGTGATACCAATGTATGTGCCAGCACATCCCTAAAGCCAGAGCAACCCATTCCCCAGGTCATGTACCTTCTTCCTTGCAGACCCCGGATCCTGGAGATGGACAAGGAAGAGAATCGGCGCTCTGTACTGCTTCCCACACACCGGCGGAGGGGGAGCTTCAGCTCAGAGAACTACTGGCGCAAGTCCTACGAGCCTGCAGAGGACTGCTCAGAGGTAGCTGGCAGCCCTGCTCGGAAGGTGAAGATGAGGAGGCACTGAGGCCTGCTGCCACATCCCTCTGGGGAACTCTGGTTCATCCTTATGTAGCTGCCCCTCCTTTTGTTTTGTTTTGTTTTGTTTTTCTATCCTTTTTTTTTCCCTTCCCCTTGGTTTGTTGTCTATTAAGGCTGAAGAACAGAATTGGCCAGGACCTAGGTCCTCATGTTTTTGGTTTTTCTACTGGATGAAAATGCTATTGATATTTGTTGGGCACAGAAGCTGACACTGGAACGGCCAGTAGAGACCTTGGGGGCAGCCATCCTCAAGTGGGGCTGTGTCAGACTGCATATATTTAAAAGCAACAGAACATTTTAATTAAGGAAATTCTTGGTTTGCTTTAAAATTTCAATCTTTTCAGTATTTTAAACAAAGTTTGATCTTCCTCCCCCACCCCTTCCTCCCTGACATCTGTACTTGGTTGAGGTCTCTGGGAGTCTTACCAGCTCCACCCACAGCCTGCTCCTGCTTAGCCCTGGCTCTGCTGCCCTCCCACTTCTCATCTCACCTGCTCGCCAAGTCCTGGAAACTCATGCAAACACCATTTCTCCTCCTTTGGCAGCATTGTTCAGGCTGGCTGGACTGGGCACAAATAGTGCCCACCCTGATGAGCCCTTGGGCCACCTCAGAGCCCACTGACATGCTCTGCCCACAATTCCTTGGGTCTGCCCAGGGGCTGCTATGGTCTTGGCCCCTTTAGCCAAAAGCATACCTCTTTGCTGGGTTGTTTCTTTTCCAACATACGTGTGTGATTATATGAGCATTTAAGACTTGCCATGTCAGGTCACTTTAAGATGGACTGTTTCTAGCTAGAGGGACTGGTGTCCTCCCAAGTCTAGCATGTGGGGTATGGAATATTGTTGTGGTGTGTGGTAGGATTTTTGTTTTGTTTTTTGAGTTTATATTTTTCCTTTGGACTCCTGGCTTTTTCCTTTCCCTTCCTCTCTTCTGCATAGGCCAGCTTGGGCCTTCTCACCATGGTGCCCCTTTGGAGAGGTGCCTGCACCTCTGTCTGCCTGCAGCATGCATCCAATGCCACAGCTCAGGCCTTCAGACCAGGTGGGTGCCCCCTCTGCCTCAGGGCGGGTGGGGGTTGGAGAAGGGCATTTTAAAAAATAATAAAAGAAATAAACAATGTAAAGTCTTTGGCAGTTTCTACCCATTTAGATCCTTGAAGACTGTAAGGTTTTGCTAATCTAGATTCATTAGGAATTGCTCTCTACCACTGGAGGCCAGGGTCAAGGCTTGGCTGAAAGCAGAGGCTCTACCAACTTCCAGTTACCAACATCATATAGAGCCTTGCCTTGTAGGAGCTCGGGGCTGAGGCTTCAAAGGCCAGGAAATGGGGGCAACCTTTATCCAGAAGGCCTTCTGGGGGACCAGAACTCTTTTGCCAGTGTGGATTCTTCAAGTTGGCACTGCATAATTAAAGCAGTTGCAGGTTTTTTGTTTATGTTTTTACAGCTTTTTTCCCAAAAATGATTTGTAGTTGTATGTGCAGCACTTTGCCCTGAGATGTGTGCTCTACAATAAAAACCAAATCTAATATATTTTGAAACAGTTGTCTGATGCTGTTATAAGAGAAGGCTTGCCTTTGTTATTTCCTTTAATCCCTTAAACTTGGGACAGGTGGGGCTGGGCACAACCCATTAGTAGAAGACCTTGTACAACTTACCTCAGCTGAGAGAAGGTGGAGAACTTGCTCTCTGCCCACTGCTCTCCCCCTCCAAGGAGGACTAACTTAATAAACCTGGTTCCAGGGGCCAGGAACACCCTGATGAATTTTGGAAGCCACTCTTCTGGGGACAGAAAGGCTGTCTGCTAGTGAGTGGGCACAACAGCACAGAGGCAGGAGAGAAGGGTCTGGCTTTGTGGAAGGTAAACAGGTGGTTTTGAACTTTAAACCTGTTCTTGGGTTTCCAGTAAGTGCTAGACACTACTAGGGCCTGAACAGTGAGCAGTGTTCATCCAATTCCTGGCTTCTAAGATGCCCACAGGAGAGCTGTGGGACACAGTGAAAGCAGGATTCCCAGAGGAGGGATAGGGAACTGGCCTGAGGTCATTTGGATTTCACTAGGCAGAGGTGCACATCCTCCTACCATACCTGGACTCTAACGAGGGTTCATGTGTAGAGGCTGGGGAGCTGTAAGATTATCCTTGTATAGCTACAACAAAGCCAGATCTGGCCTCTTTTCAGCCCATAGTGAAAGGGGCCCTTTGCCCTGCATGGAAGTAGAGGGGCTGGAGGACTTGGTCTCTGTACTTGTACAGTGAATTCAGGTACCTCCCAGCTTTCTGCTCCTGTAAAGATTGACAGCCTTAGAAACACCCTGTACAGGGTCGCTATGAGTCAGAACCAACTCCACAGCACATAACCACCAACCACCCAGCTTATTAAACACAGCCATCCCCAACCCTCCTTGAATCCTTGCAGCCATCCCTAGCCCCTCTAGGGTTTTAGGGAATTGACCTTCACTTGGGACTCCTTGAATCTGCCTCCCTAGCTGTCTCCTGTGACTTTGGGGCAGATGTTGAGTCCATCTATCTTCTCACCCCCAATCCTTGCCTCCAGCGAAATCCTGCATCCCATTTTTCCAACTCTGTGTGTTGGGGGCTGGGGACCCAGACCCACAGCATCAGATACTGGCATGATGTCACATTCATTCAAAAACTGCATGTCCTGCTGTGTTCTGCACTCCTTGCTGAGGATATAAGAAAGATTGGATTACTACTTTCACAAAGCCGACATCCTCATGGGGAGACAGCAATAGTAATATCTCATACACAACTATGCATACAGTGATAAAAATTTTACTATTGAAGTCTCACACGTAACAAATTACGTTGTCGTTAGGTGCCTTGACCTTATGCACAAAAGAACCTGCCCTGTTCTGTCCTGCCGTGCACCAGCCTCAGTTGTTGAGCCCATTGCCACCGCCACTGTGTCAGTCCATCTCGTTGTAGGAGTTTACTCATCATTTTCACTGACTTGGCCACTTTTCCAAGAATGCTGCCCTCCTTCAGGGACTGGCCCTTCCTTATAACATGGCCCCAAATATGAGTGATGAAGTCTCACCACCTTCACTTCTAAGGAGCATTCTGGCTGCACTTGTAACACAAATTTGTTCTTCTGACAGTCCGTGGTACTTTTAAAAATATCCAACACCATGATTAAAATGCATTGGTTTATCTGTGGTCTGCCTTACTCATTATCCAACTTTCACATGTAATTTGAGTCAATGGAAAATACCATGGCTTGGGATAGACACATCTTAGTCCGCAAACTGGCATCTTTGCTCTTGAGCACTTTAAAGAGGTCTTGTGCAGCAGATTTGCCTAATGTATCATTGATTTGTTGACTGCTGCATCTATGAGTGTTGATAATGGATTCAAGCAAAATGAAGCCTTTGACACTTGAATCTTTTCTCCATTTAACATGCTGTTGTTGTTTATTGGTCCAATTGTGAGGTTTGTTTGTTTGTTTGTTTTCTTTACATTGAGGTACTGAAGACAGGAGTCTTTGATCTTCATCAGTAAGTATTTTTTAAGACTCAACCTCAGGTTGTTACTTGAATATCCTGTTGCTACGATCTTCATATGATCCAGTTTCTGGGATTTTTTGCTCAGCATAGAGATTGAGTAAGTATGGTGGAAGGATGCCGCCCAGGTTCACACCTTTCCTGATTTTAAACCTTTCAGTATTCCATTGTTTTTACAACTGCCTTTTGGTCTATGTACAGGTTCCTTATGAGCACAATTAAGTGTTCTGGAATATCCATTCTTACCGCTGTTATCCTGAATTTGTCATTATCTACATTGTCAAGCCTTTACATAGTCAATAAAGCACAAGTAAACATCTTTCTGTTACAACAAAATATGTCGTTAGTTGTTAAGTGCCATCAAGTTGGTTCTGACTCATTGCGATCCTGTATAGGGTTTCTGAGGCTGTAAATCTTTATGGGAGCAGAAAGCCTCATCTTTCTCCCGTGGAACAGCTGTTAGTTTTGAACTGCTAACCTTAAGGTTTGCAGCCCTATTAATAACCACTACACTACCAGAGCTCCTTATTGGCTCCCTCAAAATTCATATCCATGCCTCATGCAAAACTCATTTTTTACCTATCACATCCTGAAAGTCTTAACATTCAGCTCCAAAATCTCACCTGAATTACCTAAATCAAATATGGGCAAGACATCTTGTTAGTCATGTTCCATCCTAGGCAAAATTCCTCTTCATTTGTGAATCAGTGGACTCTAGAAATCAAGTTACCTGTTCCAAAGTACAATTGTGAAGCAGGTATAAAGTAGACATTTCCATTACAGATGAGAAATTGGAGGGAAAAATGGTTGTAATGGGCACCAAATAAATCCCAAACCCTTCAGAACAATTTATGTTAACTCTCAAGTCTTGAAAATAATCCTGAGTTCTCTGAGGCCATCAGGGCAATGGCTATGTCCTCCATACTCTTGGGTGTTGTAGATTCTAGGTTAAATCCCTCAGCTTCCAACTTCAGCTCTGCCTTCTAGCCCCATTGGGACAGCAACTCTACACTCTCAGCTTTAGGTGGTCCCATTCTACTATTCTATATCTGAGCGTGGCATACCATGCCAAAAGTTCTGTTCTGTTAACATTTTGCTCAGTTCATTTTTCTTAACAAAAAGAAATGAATTTTCGCAGTTTGGGGGCATTAGACTGAAAACACCCACACTTGTTGCCTGGTCCCTTCACCAATTGTTCCAAGAGCAGCCCCACACTCTTGGAACAATTGGTGAAGATCCCATTCTTTGGAATTTAGGAGATCCAGGAGACCATATCCCCACCTTTTGAAACTGCTTCCCTTGTTCCTTCTAACAGTTTTGCTGCTCCAAGTTTCTCCAAGTATCCCTTTCCTTTTCATAGGACAACAGATGTAGGTCCTTTGACTTGTTTCTTGCCTGTAGAATTCCAAGAGGCACATAGCATTCTTTTGTTCTTTCTCTGTCCCCCGTTAAGTCTGGGTTTTCTTCTGTGGTAGGTAGTTAGATGAGTCCTGTTGTGGCGCTGTGGATTAGTGCGCCAGACTGCAAAGTCGTTTGAACTGCAGGGTTGCTAGTTCAAGCTCACCAGTCGCTCCTCAGAAACCCTATATAGGCTTAGTATGGGTTGGAACTGACTCGATGGTACTTAGTTAGATCTATCAGTTATAGGCCTAATCTCTCTAACAAAAGATGGTGTAGCCATGTCCTTGGTGAACATAATTTGTACAGCAGGATTCTCCAAGTCTTTTAAGTTCTGTTTATGATTTTCACAGTTCTTACTTCAATCGATCCATTTTACTATAAGAGCAAGGAGACACCTTGTACCCCCTTTGAGATCTTGCATAAAAATCTCATCAGCCAGATAATTCAAATTCATCCCTTGCAAGTTCTTCCTTCCACCAAATATTTTAACACAGTTCAGA